TCTCTCAGCAGAGGTTTTTCTAGTTCACTAAGGTTCTTTTCGGAGACATTTTCCAAAGCCACAACGGTGTTGCTACGCTCTCTGGTTTTCTGAACCCTAACCCTAACCCTAATTGTGAAGAAGGCTTTCAGGCCTGTTCCACCTGTGGGCAGCTAGGAGTCGCTCATTCCTGCCAGGTCCCTGAGCAGAGGTTTCTCTAGGTTACTTAGGTTCATTTAGGAGCCTCTTTCCAATCCCACTGCCATGGTGCTTCTATGCTCTCTTTTTTTCTGAACCCTAACCCTAACTGTGAAGAAGGCTTTTAGGCCTGTTTCGCCTATGGGCAGCTAGGAGTCGCTCATTCCTGAAAGGTAGCTGAGCAGAGGTTTCTCTAGGTTGCTAAGCTCCCTTTAGGAGCCTCTCTCCTTTGCCACTACAATGGTGCTTCTATGCTCTCTGCTTTCCTGAACCCTAACCCTAATTGTGCAGAAGGATTTCAAGCCTGTTTTGATTATAGGCAGCCAGGAGTCACTCATTTGTAAAAGGACTCTGCGGATCGTTTTTTCTAATTTGCTAAATTTCTTTTAGGATACTTTTTCCACTCCAATTCGTACAGTGGTTCTCGTCTCTCTGTTTTTCTGAACCCTAACAGAGCAGCAAGAGCAGTATATTTTATCCTGCAAGTCTTTTTCCTACATTTTAGCAAGCTATATTTACAGAAGCACTTTTCAAGGTTAACTGTGTATTTCATTTCCTATTCCTTTCACTGCTTTAGGGGGTAGGATTTTTACAGAAGCGGAAAGCACACTACCCTGTTAACCCTTTATAGGCCTTACAACTGCTCACTTGCAGGGGCTGAGTGCTATCTCACAGGGGTGCTTAATGCTCACTCACAGGTGGTGTGCTCACTCATAGGTCGAGTACTCACTCATGTGGGGAGTGCTCACTGACAGGGGAGTTTTCACTCACCTGTGGAGTGCTCACTCATGGGGGAGTACTCATACCCGGGAGTGCTCACTCATGAGGGGAATCGTCACTCACAGCGGATTCTTCTCTTATGGGGGATTTCTCACTCACAGCAGGAGTGTACAGTCATCAGGGTAGTGCTCACAGGGTTTAATGCTCACTCACAGGAGGGTGTTCTCACTCACTGAGGGAGGGAGGGGGGAGTGCTCATGAAGGGCAGAGTGCTTACTTCCAGGTGGAGTATTCACTCGTTGGAGGAGTGCTCTCTCACGAGGCAGGGGGAGTCTTCACTCATGGGGGGAGTGCTCAGTCACAGGGGGAGTTCTCACTCACAGTGTTCACTCAGGGCAAAGTGCTCACAGGTCAAGAGTTCTCACAATCACAGTGGGAGTACTCACTCCTGGGGGAGCTGTCACTCACAGGCTCAGAGTGCCCACTCATGGGGCGGGGGGCGTCCTCACTCATTGGAGGAATGCTCACTCATGGGGAGAGTGACCACTTGTGCAGGGCAGCGTACTCATTCACAGGGGAGAATCCTCACTCAGAAGGGGAGTACTCACGGGAGGAGTGCTCACTCCTGGGGGCAGAGTGCTAACTCACAGCGGGGCAAAGTGCTCACACACAGGTGGAGTGCTCACTCACAGGGGGGAGTGCTCACTCATGGGGGTATAGTGCTCACTCACACAAAGCAGAGTGTTCACTCACGGAAGGGAGTTCTCACGGGGCAGAGTGCTAAATCATGGGTGGCAGGAGCACTCACTTTCAGGTGGAGTGCTCATTCACGGGGGGAGTTCTCAGTCACAGAGGGGGTGCTAAGTCATGGGGTCAGTGCTCACTCTCACAGGGCAGAGTGCTCATGGGGGAGTTCTCTCACAGGGGAATTCTCACGGGGTGAGTGCTCACACATAGGGCAGAGTGCTCACTCATGTTGGGGCATGCTCACGGGTGGAATGCTCACTCACAGGGCAAGTGCTAACTCACGAGGGTAGTGCTCACATGGGGCGGAGTGCTCACTCATGGGGGAAGTTCTCACTTACGCTCATGAGGGGGTGCTCACTCACAGGGGGAGTGCTCAGTCATGGAGGTAGTGGTCACTCACTGGGGGAGTGCTCACAGGGGTAGTGCTCACACAGGACAGAGTTCTCACGGGGTGGGGGGAGTATGCACTCAGGGAGGCAGAGTGCTAACTCACGGCAGGGCGGAGTGCTCACACACAGGTGAAGTGCTCACTCCTGTGGGGAGTGCTCACTCGTAGGGGAGTGCTCATAGTAGGAATGCTCACTCATGAAGGGGAGTTCTCACAGTTACAGGAGCAGTGCTCACAGGTGAAATGCTCACTAATGGAGGGAGTGCTGTCTCACTGGAGTGCTCTATCATGGCGGCGGGGGGAGTGCTCACTCACGGCGGGGGGGAGTTCTCACACCCAAAGGCAGAGTGCTCACTCATGGGGGGTGGGGGGAGTGCTCACTCACAGGGGCAGAGTGCTAAGTCCCGGGGGACACGGAGTATTCACAGGTGGAGTGCTCACCCATGGAGGGAGTGCTCACAGGAGTGCTCACTCATGGTGGTAGTGCTCACTCAGCCCGGAGTGCTCACTAACAGGGAATTTTCATTGACACTCACAGGGGAAGTTCTCACAAGTGGAGTGCTCACTTATGGATTAGTGATCACTCATGCTAGGTGGAGTTCTCACAGCAGGGAGTGTTCACAGAGGGAGTGCTCACTCACATGGGGCGGAGTGGTCACTCACGGAGGCAGGGGGGGTGAGTTCTCACTCACACTCACAGGGGGCAGTGCTCACTCACCAGGGCAGAGTGCTAACTCACAGGGGCGGAGTGGTCACTCACATGGGGCATGCTCAATTATGGGAGGGAGTGCTCACAGGGGTAATGCTCACTCACAGGGGGAAGAGTGCTCACTTATGGGAGGAATTGTCACTAACACTCAGTGCTCACTCACAGTCGTGGTGCTAGGAGGGAGTGCTGACTCATGTGGGAGGGCTCACTCACATGGGGCAGAGTGCTCACTCATGGGTGGAATGCTCACTCACGGATGGAGTGATCACTTGTGGGGAGCATCTCTTAGCTTATTTATTTGCAAAATAAAAACACAATTTTCATAACTTCATATAATCAACATTTCACTACAGAAGTGCAATCTCTGGGAACACTAACAAATTAACTGTTAGACTCATTAACTGTGAGAAGAGCATAGCAAACCCTGGAGCACTGAAAGTCATTGCTTGTTTGTTGTTGTTGTTTAGCATCTATAACCATCTTTATTTGTGGTGTGCATAGAGAGCTGAACAGCCAGAAGAGGGTAGCATAAGTTAGCTCTGCTTTACAGATGAAGTTTATTAACTATTTTTGAGAGAAACACCTACTTAAGTTTCTGACTGCAAGGCAGAGAAAGACAACATGGAGAAACTTGTCACTGAGCTATTGCCAGAATTTGGAGAGGAGGGTTTGAAGCCAGAATTGGCAAGGACTAGCTTGATAACAAGCCATAGAGCTTTTCACCCTCTACTCATAACTCCTGTTTGCCCAGGGCCTCTGTCAGCAAGAGCTGCACACTAAGACAACTGCGTGGGTCTGGACAGCATGCCAGCAGCACACATCAGTAAATCCAGCAGGTTCTTGGGTGCATCCTGGCACCTCAGCTTGCTGCAGCAAAGCTGAAAGGACAGGTGGGGGAAATGAGGAAGGCCTGTCCCTCCAGTCCCTACCAGAGAGGAAAGGAGGGGAGAACTAGACTGGCAGCAGTCACAGAGAAATGCAGACAGGGGCTCAGTCGGACATGGAGGAAGATGCAGGGGCTGCACATGTGTTTTCAGGTTTGCTCCTGCTTCTTTCCTTCCTTCAGTCAGGGACTAGCAGCAGTGCAAAGCAAGTCCATAAGCTGGCTTCTACCAGGGAAAGAACTTGCAAGGGTAGTCTGAGAGCAGGAGGACGTGGAAGATCTGCAGGGAGCTGGACAGGGAATTGCTTTCGCCTTGTAGGAGTGGTTAGATACCCCAGATGGGATCAGCTTCCACTAGGCTAGAGGTTGTGCATCCACCTAGGAAAGCAAAAACTGTTACCTAAGGGGGGGGGGGGGAAAAAAAAAAAAAAAAAAAAAAAAAAAAAAAGGGGGGGGGAAAAAAAAAAAAAAAAAAAAAAAAAGGACAGACAGTCAAATGCCCAACATCACACAGCCAGGCACTGACAGAGAAAATTCCTTTCCTGTCTACTTGCTTCTGCCTGAACTGCTTTTGATTGCTTCAGAGGCAATTAGTTGTACACATTTACCTCTTGGAAAGGCAGGCACTGGCGGACCATAACAACCCAATAAATTGTATTTTATTTGTACTCTATACCCAAAGCTAAGTGAAATACCATCCTGAATATCATTTTTTGTTATTCTTTTACCTCCCCCCATATATAACACATATATAGTAAAACACCAAAGCTTTCCATTTCCAAGACTTTTGCATGAGACTATAAATGCTGTTATTAGATGCTTCACCTGCTGCAGAGCTACAATTCAGCCACTTTCTCAGCTGGAGTGTATCTGCTGTATAGCACACAGAGTACCCATGACCTGCAGGAAGGAAGGGGACCGAGAACACTGTAGGCAGGTGGCATGAGGGTGGCAAGCTGTAATTTTATCCCCTTATCCCCAGAAGAAATTAGTTTCAGGCATTGTGGGAACCTTTGTGTGCTAAATTCTGTATTTTTGCATGTCTTTAAAGCAGTGTTGACCCTTTAAGCTGTGTATGGGGAACTTGCTTACAAGCTCCCTGGAGGTGGCCTTTAGTAACAGAAACTACTCTTTAAAATAAACACACATAAATAGCTGTCACGTCTGCTTCACTGAGACTCATGCATCTGACCTTTTCTGACATGATTTAGAAGCAAAGCTAGCTATAACGATTCTTTCTGGTCATCATCCTGAATGATGCAGAAAGGCTGCATTGATAAATTGGCTCCTCTAACTTTCTTGCCTTTCCATTATACCCCTTGGCTTCTCTGGCACTCAAGAGGTTCATTATGGAAAGTGATGATTGATGAAGTCAGCTTTCTGCACACACATCCCTTCTGTGAGCTGTTAGGCTAAGGCATCTGTTGCTGCTCGCATTGGTTTTGCTTGACTTGGCACTTCAGAGCTCTCAGTCTATTAAAAAGAGTGTGAGAATGTCCATGCAGAGTCAGCTAGTCTGGCTAGAGCGGTTTCCCCTTGTGTTTCCATGCTGCCAGACACTGTCCCCTGCAGAGGGATTTGAACTGATGAAGATGCTGTGGGTAAGGGGACATTTCCCCTTAGGAATGTGCTTGAAGGGCTGCTGTTCACCTCCTTGCCTGGGTTGGCAACATTTACAGCACTGCTGCTCACCGTCCACAGGCATGGGTAATGGCTGGAGAAAAACAGACAACAACAAAAATAAAGCAATAGAAAATGAATTGTTTGTTTTAAAACATTTTTTCCCACCTCAAAATTTGCTCTGGTACAGTAAAGTACATTTTCTGGTAAAAGATTGCTATCTGAATCAGGTTACTGAACTAGGTGAGGTTTGGACATCTTAACTGAAAAAATACCAAGGACAGATAGACCTGCAGAGTTTAAGAGAGATGTATGGAGAGAAATGTGCAAATAAATAAAAGTGAGTTTCAAGGGTATTTTTTTAAAAATGTTTACATTTCAAATAATTTCAACTGACTTTCATGGTACCCAAATTACAGGATAAATACGTGCATTTATTTTGGGAAGAAAGGACATATTTGTTAACTAATTGGTTCTGAAGGATCTATATTTCAGCCCCTCGTGGAACTGTTTACTGCTCTGTTAACAACATGTCTGCATATCTATAATGGATCATGAATTAGGCTTCACTACAGCCCTGCACATGGGTAAGATTCTCATTTTGCGCAAGAGACTAGTGAGAAGCACAGAGATAAAAATACTCTGGCTTTAGCATGTCCACTAATTTTAGGTACCAGAGTTCTTTGTGGCTATGCCAAGAACCAAATTTTCAAAAGTGCTGTTGAGAAGATGATTATGCTGTGGAGCAGATGATTATGTTCCCTGAAAGATCAGTCTAGGAAACTCAGATTGGGCTCTTGGGACATATTAAATTAAGGAGGTTTATTAAAGCTTGGAAAAAGGTCTGAACCACAAGGGCAGGTGCAGCTCAGATGTGAATGAGTGCAGAGACCTTTCACCATCTCATCTACATGAGGCCATGAAAGAAGGGCCTAGTTCTGGACTGGATTCCTTGATACCAATGCAAGTGGAACATGGGGTTGTAAATGAGGAGAGGCCTAAGCAGGTGTCCCCACTCTCTCACTCTGCTCATGTTGCTGCATCTTCGCTGCAGCTCCCTGCCTGTGCTGCACAGGACTGAGAAGCTCAAGGAAACTGCGGCATTGTGCCAATAGGGGAGCTTTCCATGCTGTGGCAGGGGAGGTGGAGACATAGGGGCTTACATTCCTCTAACCTCACCTGCAGACCTACACTTAAGTGAAATCACTCTATCGACAAAGCTAGTATTTTTTTTTGGCTATTCCTATTTGCCAGTCCTAGCTTTCAGTATTAGATAACTCTCTATTCTAGGGCCAGGCATCCTATTTCTTATTCCTACAATAGATTGCCATTCACTTCCTCTTCCTTAAATCAAGTTCTTATTACACCATTTAGCAGTATCAAGAAATTCAGTTTTTATTCCTAAAAAGTCACTTACTATTCTAATGATTTTCCAGAACACAATTTTGATGAGGCATCCTATATGCTGCAAGTGCAGTATGCATATTAATAGGCATGATAAGAAAAAGCTAAAACTACCATAATCAAACTGACCTCTGCAGAAATATTACTTTTAAAGATCTCCAGAAGGCTTCCTATCTTGAGATACAGGAGAGTAGATTGGAGAGACATTAGCATGTGGATACATATACAGATAACTAATATTTCTATAAGGCTCACATTTTTTTAAACGCAGATGAATGTCACCTCAGTCTTCCATCTGCAAAACAAGGATGGTGCTGTTTGCCTGAGGGACTTGCTTTCTAGTAACAAAGTGACCTGCCTAAGGAAGACTGTGTACCAGGTCAAGAGCAGATATTAGTTACGAAATCAGGATTGTCGTAAGGCTTTGTTCATACCTACAAGCCTCACTGCTCCCAATACCAGTAATTTTCCTGTAATCTTACCTGGGCCCAGGGCTAGCAGCTCCTTTGCTGTGAGGCACTGAGAGCAAATTTGCATGTGGAGAGGATGGCAAAGTCCAGCTGTCATGTCCTGGGAATACCTGAAGGTTATTGCTGGGGCTCTCCAACAAATTCACTTTGGGGAGAAATACAAATCCTCAGTGACTGTTGCAGAGACAGTGTCTTAGGACAAGAGAAAACAGGGAGGCCTGAGGAAGCAATCTTAGCTGCTGATATTTTCCCAACCACAGGTAAAAGGACAAAATCCTCTTCTTTATTAAGGAGCAGCAAGGTGCAATTGTAATTTCACACATAGTATGTAAAAAGATACAGCATGAGAGACATAAGATAAGCACTTTGGAAAAGTCCAAGCAATAGTCTTTGATTAATAGTGACTGACATATGACTGACAATGTTTTGATACAGATTTTCTTAGAGTTCGAGCTTAAATATTTCTGTTAAATAGGATGTCTTAATTATAATCAGAGAACAAATTACTCTATCGTCCCCCTTTTTCTTTCCAGCCAATTTCCTCCTGCCAAAGGAAAATCAGCTTCTGGAACTCCAGATCCAGATGCAGAGAATGGAGAGGACGCAGGAGACATTCTGGCAATAGCAAAACAGCATAATTCCAAGTCAGCCCCAATGATGTTCCTAAGGACTGCTTTGACGTGAGGCACAACTGCATCACAACATGACATTAGAAGCAGTCCTACAATGTTCTCATATTTTTGTATAATTGAGAGTGTCATTTAAGTGAGATCATTCACTTGCATCTATAGCCAACAGTTACAATGCACCTAACTCTAGTACCTATCTCTTTGTATCTTTTGTTTTCTCTGCTTGCTGCCTTAAACATACTGTGTGTGCAGAGCTCAAGGCAGACTGTTACAGAGAGACTTGTCATGTTCCTTCCTCTTGCTTGGTTGGTTTTCTGCTTATGCTAATATAAAACAAGGGTCAGTCAGGTTGATGGCGTCTCTTCCTTGGAAGCAAAGAAAAATTACAGTGGTACCTGCAGGCGAGTGATTTCTCTGCATGTATGAAGGTGGGTACGGAGCAGCCCGATGTCCTCGGAGGGTTGAGTATCGCTCACAGCCATGGGGAGTGTGTGGGGCCGGCAGAGGCAAGGGGCCTGGGTACTGATAGTTAGAACTTCCCGACGGACATACTGTGTCTGGGTTGGAAATCAGCCAGCCTCCCACTTCAACAGGAAAGAGAGGACAAAACTATTACAACACTGAAACAGTGCATTAAAGAAAATAACCATCTTTCCTTCCAAATCAGCTGTGCCTCAGAAACACCAGGCAGATTCCAAAATACAGGTTTAATGGAACATTAACCTGTATTAACAATGGAACAACCCCAAAACAAGATTTGGGAACAAACAGACAACATCCTAATGTCAAAAACAATGTGAACAAAACTCTGACCACTGTGAAAATGAACAAAACCTCTGCTCCACCCTCTTCTTTCCAAGCTGTTCACCAGTAAAAGTTAAATTTTAGAGATGACAAAATTCTAGAGATGACAAATAAAACAAAAATATAAATAAAAATATAAAAATATAAAAATATAAAAATATAAAAATATAAAAATATAAAAATATAAAAATATAAAAATATAAAAATATGAAAATATGAAAATATGAAAAGGAAAGAGAGAGAATCATAGAAATACCATATATCATTTCATCATCTTGTTTCTAGATTCTCTCTAGTATCAAAAAAACTGTATTATAAGGAAATGATTCCTCTGGGGAAACTGTCACATGATTTCCTACTGTGAGGTTTCTTGGCCATTTCTTTTAAGACTCCCTTTCACTGACAGAATTGAGGACATAATGAAGCACTGGTCTGATCCAGTGAGGCAAACGCCAGGTTCCCAGTGCCAACCATATTATACAACACTTCCAGCTCGCATAAACGAAAACCTTACAGTGAGAATACGTCATATGTTGACCTTCGGAGACTGTTTCTGGAGCATTCTTTGGATGGTTTCTGAAAGGGAAATATTCAGTGGTAAGTTATAAAAGAAACTAAAAATCCTTAGAACTATTCACTAAAATAATTTAAAAGGGAATACAGTCAGAAAGGATGAAATTCCACCCCATTTAACCACTTGCTAGGCAGTAGATGTTTCTTTGCTCTGCCATAAAGGAAGTAGAAACTTCAGTTTCGTGACACACATAAAAAACATCCCTAGTTTGTGCTGATTTCAGAGGCTGACTTGGAACCCTACATCTATTGTGGGGTGACCATCTAAATGGTTGCTTTTCCTGCTTGCGCTGCCAGTGGAGTGCCAGTGGTGCCACACTCCTCCGGCAGCAATGTGGAACTCTACYTCCTTGCCTCTGCCTCTAGGCAAGCTTGAGGCAATGCTCCCTTTCCCAGCCTGCAACTCTGGGGTGAGACTCAGCAGCTTGCTTAGCAATCAGGAGCGGGACAGGTTCTCCTGCAGGCACATGGTAGACATCGTGTGGCAGAAAACAGCTGTTCCAGGAAAAAGAATATATGTATATATCTGTATATATATATTTGCAATTATTAACTTGAAACCATGATTTAGATAGTCTCCTTTTAAGGCTATACTAGACTCATAAACCTTCACATGGTCCTATGGCCAGTTCAGCTTCTAGATTATGGAGATAGTAGAGCCACACTGCATTAGCATGGATAATACAAGGGAAACTTGGAAAGATAAGTGCAAATCAATCTGTCTCTGATGACAGAAGCACCTCTAACATCTTACATAGTGATCTCTTATGGAATTACATTTAATGAATATACCACACATCCTCAGATTAGTTTAATAAGAACAGTGGAGCTACATTACAATCACAGTGCAATTTCACTTCAGTTCTGCTTTTCTGCTTTCTGACATGTGCAGTTACCCTTTATTCTCTCTGAGGTATCAAATCATGGGATTAATTGGACTGTAAATACAATGTATAACATTACTGAGGGAATTCACTCCCTCTCACTTCAGGCTGTCTGTGTAGACAGGACTAAGTGGGAGGATCCTCCAGAGAACACTCACCCACTTCAAAACAGGTTGTGCTAACAGTCATAGAGAGACCTCCCCACTAATTTCAGTGGGGTGACTCTGGATTTCAGACAACAGAAACAAAATTAAGTTATGTCATTGATATCTTTCACATTGTACTACCACAGTTTTAAACATATCATCAGCAAGATACTATCAAAGCAAAAAAGAAGCCGAACTCACCTTTCCTTTGCATCCAGGAAGGCTTTGGCAAAGGGATTATACTTGATTTTGAGAGCTGTTATCTTGAGTTTGCAAAAAAAAAAAAAAAAAAAAAAAAAAAGCATATTAGTGAAGACAGTTGGGAACAGAGACTTGACAAAACATCATCCAGAGTACAATAAGTGTTAGCCAAACAAAATATATGCCCACACATACATTATCCAGGGCTACTTGTAAGGGAGCTCCATTCTTTGCAGAACACCTATCTGTGCCACAGGATTAGGCACRATCTAATCTTGCAAGCTACATGGTATGATTAGGCCCTTCAAGACAGCTTGAATACACTGAATTTCATACGAGTATGAGTCAAATCTACAGCACCAATAGTTAAGTGATGAGAGATATGTTAGCAATGCTCACACTGGAAATCATCCCTCTGTTACAATCTTGTTGCTGGGTATAAAGTTTTTGCATGGAATGAGTTATAAACATATTGGTCTTGACTGTAGGTTTCTTTCAGCAAGAGTTTCAGATGCCAAGACAGATGGATGAGTCTGGGATAGCTGTGGAAGGATATTCAAACTTAATCTGGCTTACTAGTACAATCAAACACTGAATTAAATAATGTTCTACTTCAGAAGGACAAGAGAGTGTTAGGCTAGATAGGGTATGACACTGCAGGATTAATGGGGAAACAAGATAAGGACTGGCTTGCCTGTTGGCATGTACTTATCTTGTAATTAATAAGCTTTTCATATATCTTATCAGTAAGGAACAAGAGCATARTGTGGCACCCGCCTACCTCTTCATTTTGATAGGCAGTCACAGCTATGAACTGAGTCTCAGGGAAGGAACAGTTCATCACCATCCGGTGAGGGCCTCCCACACGAACTATGTGTACCTGAGGCTCGTATTTATGCAGGGAGTTCAACATTATCTGCAGAAAACAAAGCACAGACAGACAGACCCTGGTGCCATTCTGGCGTCCCACAGCTGACCTTTTCCTCTGGCTCTCTAATACACCAAGTGTCACTGCTAAATCCCCAGTTTGTGTTTACTGAGAGCAGGAGGGCAGATTCCTTCCTCCTCTCTGAAGGGCCATAGGGCTGCAAGTGGCAAGACTTCACCAAACTTGGACTTAAAGCTTTTTATAGAACAGAATCAAAGAATGGTTGAGGTTGGAAGGGACCTCTAGAGATCATCTAGTCCAACCTTCCCGCTCAAGCAGGCACACCTAGAGCATGTGGCACAGGGTGGCATCCAGGCGGGTTTTGAAGACCTCCAGAGAAGGAGACTCCACAGCCTCCCTGGGCAGCCTGCTCCAGGGCTCTGTCACTCCCACAGTGAAGAAGTTCTTCCTGACATGGAGGTGGAACTGCCTGTGTTTCAGCTTGTACCCATTGCCCTTGTGCTATCACTGGCCACCACTGAGAACAGTTTGGCGCCATCCTCCCTACATTCTCCCCTCAAGTATTTATACATATTGATCAGATCCCCTCTCAACCTTCTCTTCTCCAGGCTAAACAGGCCCAGCTCACTTAGTCTTTTCTCACATGATAGATGCTCCAATCCCTTAATCATCTTTGTCACTCAGCACTGGACTCTCTGTAGTAGTTCCACATCCCTCTTATGCTGGGGAGCCCAGAATTGCTCAAAAAGAGGCAGCAAGAGCAAATAGTTGCCTTAATAGCTTCAAATTAATGGGACTCCTCTCCTACAGAGGCTCTTTAAGCAACTTGTATCTTACACAAGAGGTGTTTAAAAACATCTGTACTTTTGAAAGTGTTGTGTGCGTGACATGAGCTTCTGGAAATACACTGTTACTTTTTAGCAACAGCACAAGTGGTGAAGCTGAAGCACGGAGTGGTGACATAATTTACCTTCACACTACTGTCTACATTTCAAAAGTAAACAAGGAGAGTTTCAGTTGTTTACCACTTAGTGACATTTGTTTTGTTTCTCTCTCCTTCACTTTTTCCTCCCTTGCTCACTACTTTCTTCCTCCACACTTTAGTATATACACACACACATCTGGTTCCCTTAGTTTTTCTCTGGGTCTGTTTGATCCTCCAGGTTGTTTTCCTGTAGCTTCCCCTTGCTTTCCCCAGTGCATGCTCTCCTAAGGTCCCAGATACAGGAGCAGCACTTGGCAAATTCAAATCCTGTTTCATGCTTCACAAAAGCTCTTATATGCCGCTTCCTTAGAAAAAGTCATGTCATTTTTCTGTTCAGTTCTCCAATCTGTAAAAATTGAGATAATTTCCTACCTAATGGGGGTACTAGGCTTATGTAGGTACCTCACAAACCTAATAGAAATAATGAGTAGAGAACATATATTTACATGAAAGAAATTGATTATGGGCTGACAAGTATCATTCAATGTAGGAGTTTTGTACAAAACAAACAAGCAAACAAAAGATCATGTGCAATATTTTACCTTCAGATGCATCATCAAAAATAAAAGACGAAACAAAACTAATTTTCCTGTTTGCATTTTAAGGGGTTCAAAGAGAAATTCACTTATTTCTGGTACATGTGGTTTCTTTCCAAAGACCAAAGCTGATTCAATAGAATATTGATAATTATCATGATGCAGAGGCAGACATAGCAATTATTTCATTTAGGAGCAGCCTTTTATTCTGCTATCTGACTCCTGCCAACATTCCACTTACACCAAACAACATGGGGGAACACAACAAAAACCTAATACCCATGACCACTTTTTCCCCCTTCTCTGAAGTCCTATGTAAAAAAAACCCAGCACGCAAGACCAGCTCTGAAAAGCACCCTGATGATTAAGTAAACCACAGCACTTTGTCTCTCTTAATATCAAGAAGTCCATTAAAATCTGAAAGCGCCAATTAAGGCCTGTTTATTCCTGTTTATATTTGGCCTCCAGAGAATAATTGGCATCTGTGGGTGAAGAGGCTTGTAAGGGCCTCTATAATTACATAAATGCACTCTTGATATTTCTTGATTGGTAAGTGCTTGTGCTTAAAGCCAAGAGGTGCATGAAGAAACATGAGGCCATACCTGCCCGCTGCCATTGAGCTTGTTGGTAAGCTTGACTTTGCTGAAGGAAATGGCAGCCTTCATCCAATGGGCCCCAAAGTTGGGAGAATCTGGGTGGATGTAGACACAGCTGTGGTTTGGTGGCTCCGGTTTCCCAGCTGGCACCCACTCTCCATTGACGTACTTCCAGCGGTGGCCATCAGTGGGGGCGAAGTCCAACAGGAAGGAATACATGGCATTTGGGTCTAAGCCTGATACGCTGATCTTTAAGACAGGAAACATGCGCCTGCCCAGGAAACAGAAAAGCAAAAGACTACTGGAGTCTGGTTTTGAAAGACTCTACAATATGTTTGTGGCCAGATGCTCACAGATCAGCTCAAAGTGGAAAAAAAAAAAAAAGACCATCTCCCTCTCTAGCTGAAGGAAAGTCCATTAAAGGTGAATGTTTCATTTGATATATTCTTGTCCAAGTGATCATATACAATATAAGGCCTGGATCATGCAAAGATTCATGAACAAACGTACTTAATTTATGCACTGTGAACAGGGTTAGCAGACTCCATGGGAATTAGATATCTTAACTATATCCTTACATGTGAAGCAAGAAGACATGAACAAGGTTGAGCAGAGTTGAAAGTGTTTGAGAAGGGGAGCTGAAGCATATGTTAACTCAAAAATCATATAATAAATTGCACTTCTTTGGGGTTTTGATCACCCTTACATTGCCCAGTGGGCCAAGTCTCATTTTGTCTTATGTTATTAGAAGGATGGAGAAATGCCCTACAATCATAAGCATTCAGGACTTAACCTCACTTAGATACTCAGATGCCTGCTAGATTTTTTGCCCACACTGGCCTCATAGGAAGGTTTTTATTCCTTCTTTCAAAGAGATGCACATAGTACACAGTCTTTGTGAGCTAATCTAAGTAATCCAGGATTTGTTCTAGGAAAGGAAACGGAAATTTCTTCATTCCTCTTGTTATCTGTATTGCCCCTCTTTCTGTTCAGGTTTCCAGGTATTTAATGTGCAAGATGTAATTAATGTGCAAGATGTACAAGAAGTGCAATTCAATAACTTATATATCCAGAATACTGTCCTTCTAACCTATTTTCAACTATATCAGTTCCTGTTTTGTTTTATTTTATTCTTATTCTTATGTTTTATTCTTATTCTTATGGGGTTTTTTTATTCTTATTCTTATTCTTATGTTTTATTTTTATACTCTGGAAATGCTTGATGTGGCCTCAGATCACACTTCCTTTTACATTTTTTTTTTTAATTTTTGTTCTATTCACTCATCCTTAAATGGATGGATAGTCCAGGTCATCTTCTCACCGCCTTTGTCACTTACAGGTAATGAACCACTCAGATTCCAGGCTCAGCAGATGAAGATGAGCAAGCCCATCTCTGGGGTAGAGTCTGCTCAACTTTGCCACTTTTTTTTTTTTTTTAAACCTCATTCACTCCTAGTTTTTGTACCAAGATTATTAATTAAGGTATTAAAATGAATTCTAATGTCAGGCCTTGGAGGAAGTCCAGCACTACTTCTTCCTCCATTACTTTACATCCCATATTCCTTGTGTTAATGCTCATCATCTCCCATTTGGGTAACAATTTCCAGGTAGCTTCACTTAAATAAGTCTATTATAGTAGACTTTAATAAGTCTACTATATTTTGCTTGTCTGAAAATATTTCCGTTATCAGTGTTGTATCAGATTTGTTTGGCATGACTTAAATTTAGTAATTTGCTTTTAATCTCATATTTCACTGTCTTCCGTACATTTGATTATCTTCTCCTTCGTCATACAACCTCAGCTCTTACTGTAGGGATCTATTAAAAAGATCCCTGCTGAATTAGTTGAAATACATTTTCCCCTTTTTTAAATATAGGTATTCATGGGCTATTTTTAGGTAAATCTTCAACTTGGTGCGTCTGGTTAAAATAATTGCTGTTAGACCTGCATTTGGCAGTCGTTTCGGTAATTTGGCCCCATCCTTCCATCTGTCTCCTTGCTTATCAGCTGAATTAAGACAAATTAGTTGGCCTTTATTTCCAAGTTGGATRCAGTGTTGAACATTACTAAGCTCTACAACCTGTATCATCTAGCCTTCATACTATCCTATGCATTTAAAATTGAAAACCCATCTTTGTTTAGTTTTGGGAAAGTACTTTGAAACATCTTTTTCCTTGAATAGAGCCGTCTGAGCTTAAAGGTACAATGAAACCTTTTCACAGTTTCTTTCTAATTATAATTTTGTTTCTTTAGTAAATGACACAGAGATGGAGTTAAAAGGGTTTCCACAGTTTCAGGAACTGGGAAAAGGGAGCAGTCTCCCAGAGATAGCCTCTTTACTATGTTTCTTAAGTTTTCAAGGAACACGTGTCATTATTGAGGAGGATTATCATAGCTGCTGTCTCTCATTTCCTACACAGCCACGCTGTGCCCTGTCCCTTCTTCCCTTTCCTGGCAGCTGTCACAGACTCACAGACCGGGGCCAAACTTTCTTCACAGGCCAAAGCATCTTCAAACTCTCTACGATGCAGTGATTGGTTACACCAGATAACCACGGCAATTGCTTGAGGTCCATGGCCTTGTTGCTGAGGTTTATCCTTAAAGAGCTCCTACAGTATACACTCATCACCTTCTGCTCGCAGAAAAAAACACAGGAACTGAGGGAAAAACATGGTCTAAAGTAGATACTTAGTGATACAGGATCACTGCAACACTTAGAAAGACATACTGAATTCTGACCTTTCTAACTTGAATTGCAGCAAAGGCCCATGTTTCTGCCCAGAACTACATTTACACATGCAATATATGCTACATTTAATGCCCATGTTTCTGCTCCATATTAAATCCATGGATTGAAACAATAATCTCATGCAGCTATCAAGCTGGGATGCGATAAAACGCATAGGTGTGTTGCTGCCTGCAACCCCAGCTGCCCATGTAGCCAAGCTGCAAGATAGCAAACCCACTGTGTGGTTTACTGACTGGAAGTGGAGGAGAGAAGCAAGCAAGATTTAATTTCATGAGATTTCACAGAACTCTATCTCAAACTCACATCGCTAATTGCTCTGCCCACAAACCAACCTTCACTGCCTCTCTAACGAGAGGCTCAAGTTTATCCCCCCAAGATTTACCAACTTTTAAAGCCAGAACAGAACAAATGGTCATGTACTTTAGCCTTCTGGATAGCGTGTTACAGCACTTCCTTGTGCTAATCCCTGTTCACACATTGCAATTCCCAGCTCACCATGGCTTGACTGCACAGACTGTCATGATGGAAAATCCACGGCATCACTTATTCCATTGATTAAACTGCTTTGCTGTTAAAAATAATATGCTTTGTCTTTCTTTTAGCTTTACAAATGATCATTTTCCTGTTTTTTTTTTCAGACAAATTTTGGATTTCAATGTACAGGTAGATATACATATGACCTCACACAACTGATGAAAGTCTAGCATTTAAAAATCAATGTGTTTATCTGCATTGATCCACTATAGATTTTCCCCTTATGCAAAGAGGACTAGTGGAACCTCTCTTCCTTCAGCGAATAACATATATTGCAAAGCATCAGGATGCTATGTAGCTGATATGATATTAACACTAAGACAGAAAACAGTCTCAGTCAGGAAACTGAGAGGTTGAATATTGAAATGCAAATTGAGTAATATAAATATGAGTAAAATAAAGGACAATGATTCTCACCCTATCAGCATTACAGCAACATTTAGACCCATTGAGTTTATTTTTTTGGGTTTCTTTTTTACTTTAGAAGATATGGTTTAATTTTGCTAGGGTCTATTCTGTTCAGAGTACATCCAACTTTTCTACACACCTAGGTAAGTGCAGATGATAATTCTAACAAAACACTAGAATGCTCTGCATTGGAGACATATCTATATGTTAACATGAAAGTTTCTGGTTTGCCATTGCACATAGATACTTAGTTCCTGTAATTTATGCAAAATTTATTTTACCCAGTTGCAATATTTTGGTAGCCCTCAATACTAAGTGCAAATGATACAAGTAGCTAGAACTGTGCACACTGGAGTTTTATACTTGAGGATTGCTGGCCAGTCAGTCTTAGAGTCTCCAGGATGTTTCTGAATCTGCTTTCATTTTGTGACTTTAGCTAACAGCTTCCACCCAAATTACCTTAGTTTCCTCAGACAGAAGTTCAGATTGTTTTTCTTCCGTTACTTTTAGGATGCACTTTTTGAAAGCACTCATATATCCTTCTGCAAGAAGGATTCAGCAGAATTAAATCATCGTCATCATCTTCTTTTCTCTTCTCGCCCTCTAGAGACATATGCTGAAGATTCCTGAACCTGCAAAATCTCAGCACTCACTGGAGAGCCTATGCATGGACTTCCCAGGAGGGATTTTACTGCAGAACACTCTCTTTTTTTTTGTATGTGTGCCTGTTCACTGATCCATTTGTAACAGAAGATACTTTCAGAAATGCAAAAGAGCCTTTTTCATAGTTCCCAGTAGTACAGTAGCTTTGCTATAATGATGTATAGAGAGGACATGGCATAATATATTTTTAGAATTTTATATTTTGAGAATGCTGTAGTCTGGGAAAAGTGAAACCTGTTCCTGCCCACATCAGCAATAGTATGTCTGTCAATGGCTTCAGGAAAAGCAGGATAAAGCTAAGGAGTGTAAAGGCTAGAAAGAAGAAAAATAAGGGAACTTCCATAATCAAATAAAAAGGAACCAGGCATATGCAAAAACTGATAGGTTCCCACCCACCATCATGAAAAGATTGTATCTACACATTCACCTAGATATTTAGTGAGAAACAGTATCTGCTGTGTTAACCTTATGTTAATTACAATGGTAATTAACATAAGGTAAGAGTGAAGAAATTGAAAAAATAAGTTAAGGTGTTATTCTTTGGATGCATTTAATTAATCTGAGGTAAGCCTGTCTTAGTTTTTTTATTTATTTAAAATTATTTATTTAAACTTATACTGAAGAACCAGTTTAAGAACCCTTACACTAGGATGAAGTCCACATAGAAGTTTGTCCTGGCCTAATGGAAATTTTATAGACAGTTTAAACGAAGCAAAAACGTCTTCTGAGTATACAGAGAGCCTCAACAAGAAAAGATGCCTGTTGCTGGAGGCCCTTAGGAGGAGTAAGGGCTGCACTAGGCCATGCTGGCCAGGAGCAGACATTCTAGGAATGCAGCTGTTTTCACAAGAGGATAACCTCGCTAAGCTAATTGACTAGATTCTTCCTCTTTTGCTGCCATCATCTTATGTTCCTTGTTGAGCTGCAGTCAAAAACAACAATGCTGCTAAATCGAAGTATCTTTCTGCAAAATTGATAAAGGCCACATGAAATGAGTAGCTCTTACTCACTGTCTCTCAATTCCTCTCTCTTACACTCTCTCTTACACAGATCTTCTGTAAAGCCTTGAAAAATATATATATATATATATGTGCAGATGTGGGGGCAATGGTGTTAACAGATTAAATAAAAACCTTAGTACTAGGTGAACCTTAGCCTAGTAACTTCCTGTGATGGGCTGGACTCTGTTACCAGCCCAGTTTAGAGCAGAACCTCTCTGGGGAGTCTCTTCAAAGCCAGTGCCTGGTACAGAATTAGCATTCTCCACTCTTGGTTTTGTACTCCCCTCTCCTATGCTTTTCTGTATCCAGCAAATAATGAAAAAAAAAAGCCTATTTAAATTACAGTATTTTGTGTTCCTAAAACCTTGTGGATTAAGGAATAACTTGCACTGGCTTGTAAGGGCAATAGCAGCAAATCTATGAGACCAGGTAAATCTTGACTGCGCACACATGCCACACAAGGCCCAGATGCAGCATACCCCTTCTAGAACAGATTGCGTGTATGGGCTCTTTTCCCCAAGGCCACAGAGGCAGGAGTTTCAGCAACTGGATATAATATCATCCATCTGCCTTTCAACACTAGTTTGAGGTGTATGGGCAAGGACCTGCTAGTGAAAGCTGATTCTCACTGGTACAAGAAGTGATTCAAACGGTTTTGGGAGAGCATCCACTCCCTGTTGGATGTTCCCCTTTTCATGCAACCTTAAGTCAATCACTGTATTTCTCCAGCACGTTTTACAGCTAGGAATAAAGGGTGGCAGGGATGATTCAGCAGGGACCAAAACAGAGAAGTGCTGCCCTGTTTTGTTCACGTGCCATCTTTAGGGGACTCAGAGGCTACAGGGGAAGCAATGTTAGGTGCTTCTCACAGCCCCTCTGCCCTGCATGCACAGCACTTGTTATTACAGCTCCTAACCCCCCTCAGGCTGTGGTCTATGCTTAGCCCAAAGGCTGAGGTGATCACTCACCTGCCGTTCTTGGTCACGATCATTTCATTAGTGACTTCCCTGAATCGCTGCCAGAGCGTCGCATCCTCCAAGATGACCTGGAGCTGTTTCTCAGTGGGGTCGCCTTTGTCTCTCCCAGCCCGGAGTTCGCTCTCCACAACGCTCAGTAGCCTTGAGACAGTGCAGTCGCTGGGCTTTTTGCAGCCCAGGTCTGTCATGACAGCTTCAATGGCAAAAACTTCAGGTAGCTGTTGAAAGATCAGAAAAAAAAAAAAAAAAAAAGAAACAAAACAAAAAACCCCACTGAGCTAAATCTAAACACAGATCAGTTCATTGGGCAGTGCCTGATGAGCGCGCGCTCCTCACTATTCTGCTACAGACTATAGCTCAGTCCCCTGGAAGTCCCAATGGGCAGTGACACCAGCGTGTGGAGGTTTACGTGCACACTCCACACAAAAAGAGGACTATCTACTAATTACCTGTCAGACGGTCAGGTGGGTGGCAGGCTGATGACTCAATTGGCTGCCCTGAAAGAAGAGTCCTCCATCCAAATTAGCATGCTTTTATCTTTTTTTTTTTCAACCTGAAGTGGGTCTAATCATTCTGCTTGAGAACCAGGTTTCCATTAATGAAAATTGTTTCATTTCCAGACTGAAACAATGCATGGAAATTGCATTCATGCTGGTGCAGACTCTAGCTGAAGGAGCTGGGAATGGTCAAGATTGTTACAGAGAGGAACCAGCATTACTGGCCTGCTCAACACTTATTTCACACAAAAACTCCTTCAAGATGTGCAAAACAAGCAATCCTTCTCGTCTCAGCCTGAGAGACCTTCTCTGACAGGCCTGATCTACCTGCACGTCCCCATCCCCACAAAAGGCAACAATGCAGTGTCCCCATTTTACCCTGGGGACTCTGAGCACTCAATAGGAGACCTGGCTTCAGTTCTATGCTGAAGCATGAAGTGAAGGCCAGGGGAATATCAGTGACCCCTAAACACTGGGCTTTGGTGCAGGAAAGATTTAAGTGCCTCATTTCTCCCAATGCATCTAGCTCTGATAGTACCTGTGAATTTTGTGGTCTGCTGGACATGACACAGTTAGGGCCTTTGTTACAAAGACATACTATTGAAATTTGGTTTGAGAAGTGTATTTCTAATTACCCATGTCAAACAATGTAATTGAACAGCCCCTGTTGAACTCTTGTATGTGCATTCTTTCTAAAAAATAAAATGAATAAAGGGAATAAAGACACTGATTACAAGCCCTCAGCATAACACAGCTCTAGGTATAGAGCAATGCCATATTCTGAAGGAGGTACTCGATTTTTGGAGAGAACTACCGCTTCCCAGGAATCTCAATACAATGAAAAGATGCAACTTAGGTCTAAGAGTGGGATTTTTTTGTTTTGTTTTTTCTTTCTCCTCTCTGAGTAATCTTCATCCTCCTAATTTCAAACTTCATATATTAGTGTATCTTCCTTCTGTCTGTTCCTTTCAGCTTTTATTTACCTTGGTTTCATTGTCAACACATAACAAAATTGCCTAGATTATCTTATTGGTTGAATCCCACTTAATAGAATCATAGAATTACAGAATCTTACAGTTGGAAAAGACCTTCAAGATCATGAAATCCAACCACAAACCCGTCACCACTGTGCCTGCTAAACCATGTCCCTAAGTGACTCATCTACACATTTCTTGAACCTGCCAGGAACAGGGACTACGCTTTCCCGGGCAACCTATTCCAATGCTTCATCACTTTTTCCATGTAGAAATTCTTCCTAATGTCCAACCTGAACCTCCCTGGTATAACTTGAGGCCAATTCCTCCTGTCCTATATATAGTTATTCTGGAGAAGAGGTCAACCCCTGCCTCACTGTAGCCTCCTTTCAGGTAGCTATAGAGAGCACTAAGGTTTCCCCTGAGCCTCCTCCAAACTGAACAACCTCAGCTCCCTCAGCTGCTCCTTATAAGGTCTGGGCTCCAGACCCTGCACCAGCTTCAGTGCCCTTCTCTGGACATGCTCAGCACCTCCATGTCCCTCTTGTAGTGAGGGGCCCAAAACTGAACACAATATGCAAGCGTAGCCTTAGCAGCACCGAGTACAAGGGCACACTTCCTTGGTCCTGATACCAGCCAGGAGGCCATTGGCCTTCTTGATCACCTGGGCACACAGCTGCCTTATGTTCAGCTGGCTGCCGACTAGCTCCCCTGGATCCTTTTCTGCCACACAGCTCTCCAGCCACTCTGGTCCAAACCCATAGCGCTGCATGGAGTTGTTGTGACCCAAGTGCAGAACCCAGCACTTGGCTTTGTTGAACCTTAACATGAACCTCATGATTATACTCTTGAGCATCAAATAGCAATGCCTACAATGCCTGGTTCAAAACAAGGTGGGATGAATTGTAAAAACTGAAGAATATAAGCTAAATATAGGATATTTAGATACTTGAAGTGAGCCTCTTACACTGGGGAAAGTAATTGCATGAYGTAATAGGTATGTCTTGCTCTTTGAAGTGCTACAACTGTCATTGCTCCCTGCATGTGCTGCACAAGAGCAAATAGTATAGACGTTCCACGAAATACTACATGAGACAGTTTTTAGTCTTTTTATATACAAATAAATACAGAAATCAAAGCTGGCTGAAATACTGTGAGAGATTTTAATTGAAGTTCACACTGGTGGAAGGATTTCAAAGTGAGGAGAAAGTGAAGTTGCAGCCTGCTCAAATGAGCTGAGAGACAGAGACAGCCATAAGGCAAAGAAAGGGAGATGCCTGCGAGGCATGTTGCTTGCCTGAAGCATAAGCTAAGAATCACACATACAGTGCACCCATTCCACTGATGGGCTACTAAAGAAATTCTACATCAGTAAGACCAGATTTGTTACAGTCAACCACCTCAGGGAGAAGYACAACGTTTTTTTTTTTTTTCCTTAGGAGCACTACATTAAAATTTGCACTCCACAAATTAATAAAATGCACCCTGATAGTATTTAATGATCCTTGAAAAATCTCATCCCTGATAAAAACACTTAAACTCCTTAAAATATTTGACTTTCACATAGTTAATTTCATAAATAGCAGAGTGCAAGGTGCTTGCAGCCTCAACATTGTATCTGGCTTATGGAGATGTGCCAGCTGGTTTGGAGTGGAGAAATGGGCACTTTGCATGTTCAAATTCTGAGCAATTTGTGATGCATGTAGCAAATTACTCACTGAGCACAGCTCAATACTGATATCTTTCCAATGCAGAAGAGTTAAGAAATAACAAATCTGCATACATTAGGGAAAAAAAAAGATCAGTTCAATGCAGTCAGAGACTGCTCTGCTTCGTTACATAGAGACTTCAGTACTACAACGGCCATGCAAGAACTGAGTTAATAAGCAAATTACCCTGGCTATGAGCCTGTTATTAACTATCTCTTTGTAAAAAATATTGAGGGTTTAAATCTTTACTTTACATATTTAGCCTGGTTTAGGAAAAGTAAAATACATTCTTTAATCTTGTGTCTCTTTGTTCACCAGAAATAACAATACATTTCCCAAACATCTGTTTTCCATTCTACTTTCTTGCAAGATGAAGCTTTCCARGCATACAAATCCTGCAATTGAGGCACAAAGAGATTAATATTACTGGATGTGGATATTCCTGGGGCACCAAATGTCCTGTTCTCAGATGGGTTATTTCTTGGCAGGAAGTTAAAATTCCTTGAGCCTGGCTTAAAGGAAAAAGTAGCTGCACTTACCAAGTTCCGTAGTAACATGGTCGTGTTTTAACAGCATAATCACCGCTGTTGAAACTGACACACAGCATGAAAGAGTGCTCCTACAGCTCTTCCACTAGGTTTCTGTATCTATTTAATTAAACAAGTCAATCAGTAGGAGCATTAGAGGAAGTAGAAAACGTTCTTACAAAATATACAAAATATGCAAAATATCTATCAATTTCTCTTTCCTCAAAACCCCTGCTGGTCACATCTGCCCAGCACTCGTTCCGTGACAGCAGATCGAACTAGGAAGGAGACACTGCAGTTTGCAGTCAGTCAGAACCAACTGCTGCAAGTCAAAATGCAAGTACAACACTCATAGCCACCCCCAGCCATGGCCATGATTTACCAACAAGAATTCAGCAACTCTTATTTTTAAAGTGAAATAAAGAGGTCTTGAGAGAGCAGAAAAAGAGCCATCTTCCAGCATTTACTGGAGATAGCTCCCTAACATCCAACAAGGAAAAGGCAGAGCATTGCTTTTGACTTTCTAATTAAACTTGTACTAAAACACAACAGCTGCTGAAATACAGCAGGAAAAATAAGGTAATTAAAGAAACCTTCCTTGCATCTGACATTGGATAGCTGGTTGGGGGGTTTGGTTTGTTTTTTGCCTTTAGACTCATGCTTCCAAATGAAAGGCTCCTCATGACCAGATGAAATCCCAGAAACAAGACTCATTCTTTCCATCTCCAAAGCTCCTGTGAAGCTTTCAAACAAGTAACCCTATCTGAACATTCGGTCCCAACAACGCCAGGAAATGTAACCGCAATCACCATGACGCTCTGAGGAAATCAACACCTATCAACTACCAAGGAATAATAAAGAGAGGATAAAGAGACAGCTGCTTTCCTTGCTTTTTTTAATCATGGATGCAGCCCTTTGGAGAGATTGCTAGGTTATAAAGGACTTAGCGAAGATTAGCTTTTTCATTATTGCTGTGGTGGGAGAAGGGAGTGTAGGTGCAATTCCAAACAGGTCTGGTTTTAACAGTTACGCAGGCAGCCTGTCCAAGTATTATCTCCCTGCCTGGTGAGTAATTGAGATCAGCCCAGAGAGCATGGAAAGTTGTGGGGGTTTTTTTGGTTTTTTTTGTTTTTTTGGCTTGTTTTTCCCCCCTTTCAAAAGAAAAGGCCATCCTCCTGCAAAATCCTAATCTAGACAGGTTTATGATAACCTTAACAGTATCTTTAAAAAGTAGTCATTTTCCTTATTTTTCTCTGCAAACTTGATGATTTTCAATGCCATCTCCAAGCAGAGAATATGAGAATATCCCACAGAGCAAATAACTAATACTGTCTCCCTTTTTAAGCTTAAGCAGTAAAAAAGAGGACCAAAACAACAATAAAAAAAATAGAACTTCAGATTCCAAACATACTTCTTCTCGCAAAATCTTAGAGCAAGACTTGGCTATGTGAGCTAAAGCTTTTTGATAATTTTACAAGATAATTCATGTTTAAAGT